ATTTGCTACCAGGTTGTAAACCTCTTGGGTACAAGTTGATTTTCAAGAGAAAAATAAAAGCAGATGGATCAATTGACAAATACAAGGCAAGACTTGTGGTCAAATGTTTTAGACAAAAAGAAGGTCTTAATTACTTTGACACATACTCATCGGTTACTAGAATAACATCCATTAGAATGCTAATTGCTATTACATCTTTGTACAATCTAGAAATTCATCAAATGGATGTGAAAACCGCTTTCTTAAATGGCGATTTAGATGAAGAAATTTCCATGGAACAACCAAAAGGATTTTCTGTTTTAGGAAAAGAAAAGAAAGTGTGTAAATTGGTTAAATCATTATATGGTTTAAAACAAACGCCAAAGTAATGACACGAGAAATTTAACAAGGCAATGATGTCAAATGAATTCAAAAGTAATGAATGTGACAAATGTGTTTATATTAAAAACACTAGCAACAGTTATGTTATAGTATGTCTTTATGTGGATGATATGCTCATCATAGGTAGTAATAATGACATGATTAAAACTACCAAGAAAATGTTGAATAAACATTTTGACATGAAGGACATGGGAATTGCTGATGTAATTCTTGGTATGAAAATTACCAAAACATCAGAAGGTTATGCTTTGTCACAATCTCATTACATTGAGAAAATACTCGACAAATTCAGCAAAGATGATGATCATCCTGCTATAACACCTGTAGATGTTAATTTGTTTCTTTCTAAGAATGTACAGGAAAGTATTTCTCAATTAGAGTATGCCTAAATTATTGGAAGTTTAATGTACTTGATGAACTGCACTCGCCCAAACCCAAATATAGCTTATGCAGTAAGTAAATTAAGTAGATATACGAGTAATCCATGAGTAGAACACTGGAAAACAATTATAAGGATTCTAAGATATCTCCAATTTACTCGTAACATTAGGCTAAATTATACTAGATATCCAGCAGTACTTGAAGGGTATTGTGATGCAAATTAGATATCGGATACTAAAGACTCAAAGTCCACCAGTGGGTATGTCTTTACTATTGGTAAGGTGACTGTATCTTGGAAATCTTCCAAACAAACTTGCATTGCTAGGTCTACTATGGAATCAAAATTCATTGCTTTAGATAATGTTTGGGAAGAGACAGAATGGCTTCGCCACTTCTTTGAAGATATTCTAATGTGGCCAAAACCAGTGCTTCTATATGTATACATTGTGATAGTCAATCAGCAATTGGTAAAGCACAGAGTCATATGTATAACGGTGAGTCACGACACATTCGTCGTCAATATAACACCGTAAAACGACTATAGCGGATCCACTAACCAAAGGGTTAGCAAGAGAGTTAGTTGAGAATTCTTCGAGGGGAATGGGATTTAAACCTATTAAATAAGAGTTACCACAACGACAACCCAACCTAGTTGACTAGAGATCCCAAGATCCAAGTTCAAAGGGACAACCGAGTTGTGTATGATTCAGAAGGATCACTGAGGAGTCAAATTCCTACCTTTTTCTATAATGAAATAGTGATGTCTGTAGTGTTTTAGGTTAAGTAATACTTTTAATAATTCTTATATCTAGGTAAACCTAGTGGAGTATGGCAAGATACTCTTCGTAAAAATCATCTATGTGAGTGTGAACTGGGCCGGTTCTATGAGATTTGTGAAGGGTTACAATTCTCTAGAGCACTCATGAAAGACCAGGTTGTTCAGGGCCAAAATGAACACGATAGTGAGAACAAAATTGTGTCTGGTAATATACTGTGTGAGTTCTATTGTCTTGGTTTACACAAATGGCTAAACAGTTCAAGATATCATGTTCACTAATTAGCTAGTAAATTCGATAGTGTCTCACAAGGAAAGGTTTAAAGTCACAAGCTACCTATCCTTTGCAGAATATTTTATTTTGAGCCATCTTTGAGTCTAAAATTGAGTGCGGTCCACACATCTTTTGGGGTGGGTCCGAAGAGGTGACGTGTTCCTTGCTGCGTGGTTAGTCACATAGCCATTTATGAGTGAATGGGAACTTGACGTCATTTTCAGATTCGTGGTACGGACATTTAAAGGAGTAAAAGATGAGTTTCCTTAAAATGGTTATCCTACATTGGAAACTTAAGAGAACTTATGCGTGTATATAAGTTCTAGGTGACAACACTTGGGTTGGGCCCCAAGGGGCACCCCAAGTTTGTAGACCGTCGTTCGGCCGGCCGTGGATGTAGGTTGTGAGTCGGGTTGGTTCTAGTATTAATTTTTTAAACAAAATTTATTTGAATTTTTTCCAAATTTCTTGCGGGAAAATTAATTTAAATTTTGCACCAATGTAATTTGAATTTGAAATTCAAAACTTTTTGTCCATAATGTGTGCCTCTTTTCAGATTTGAATTCCACAACAGTTCAATCAGTCTGAACAGTTTTCACCCGGATAGATTCAAAACTGCCAGCAGTTTTCCAACAGATAGAAACTGCCCAACAGTTATCTGTTGCACCTGTTCATTCAAAAAATCCACCTATTCAGTTTGGTTTTTAGACTTGTTTGGGTCTATATATAGCAGGCCATTTTCCAGTAGTCATTCAATCCGAAATTCTTCATTTCTTTGTACTTTTGCTCTCTTGCATGATATAATCTTCATATAATTTTTAGGAAAAATTCAGAGAGTAAGAACACAGGTTTTTGTGTTCGTCGAACAAATTGTTTGAAGTGCCACTACAATTTGTGAAGATGATTGTATCTTGGGAGATAGACGCCACTTAACCATAAGCACCATAGCGGGGCGAATTTATCTTACGGACAGAGTGTCATACACTTGACTTGATCTTTTAATTATTTATTCGGTTTGGTAAAATAAATTCGGTAAGTAATTTATTTTATTTGTTTGATTTGGTTCAATTTATTTATTTTACATAGAAGATTGTTCCAACAGATTGATGGTGCGTAAATAGAATTACCCCTACTCTAATTCTAATCACAATATTATGATATTCAATCTCCTTAATTAATCTCACCATCAAAATAATCCTCTCCACTTAAATATCCCTTCCATTTATTAGAATCTCCAAATCTTTATAGGCTATATTGATGGTTTTGCTTTAGTAGTTTGAATTTATTATGATCATTCAGGCTTAAGCCTTATTGCATGTGTTTGTCCTTAACACTCATTTTGGATTGTAGGGTGATAAAAAATAAATAAAAAAAAAAAGAAAGAAAAGAAAAGAAATGATTGTAGTCTCTCATTTAAGTAAGAAAAGAAAAGAAAACAATATGTTTTTTTTTACCAAATCTTAGTATTAATGAGAGACTACAGTCATTTGTATTTGAAGAAAAGAGAAGGATATGAGTGATATTTCTTATTATTCATTTGTATTTGAAGGGGAAATCTTAGTATTATAAATATTTTATAACCAATCAATTTATTTTTTTACCAAATCTTACCACTTTTTGTGATAAATGAAATAGGCTTAGTAAGAGAGTTTTCTTTCTCACAGTTTCACAATTTTTCACTCAACTTACAAACCAAATATGAGAAAAGAGTTCTCTTTCTCACAATTTCTTATCATTTCTTGCCTAATCACTCCATCTAAATGGAGTGTAAAAGAAAGAGATTCTAGCCACACATGAGGGGCCATGTTTAGGATATAAATATTTAAGTTGTCCTTTCGTCCATTAGCTTAAAATTTTACATGAGTTATTAGTTAACAATTCAACAGTGTGTATAGTAGAATTTGTCTATTGTGTATCGTAGAATTTATCTCCAAGATTCTATGAAGCATAGGTACTCCAAAAATGTTTCCGTACTTGTACTAGGTGCCTACAGGGTACTGGTATGCAATCCAATGTATTGGATACTTGAAATACGTACGTTTTATACATTCTTTGGCAGTTAGGTATTCCGTTAGTGCGAAATGCATAAAATTGGTGAAAATACGTTCAATTCATTAAAGAATTTTGATTTACTTAAAATTGAAAATCCTTTATTTAATATGCCAGAGATGAAAGATGTATTATTCAATGTTGAAGTTGATGGAAGTGAAAATTGAAATTTCAAGTTTCTAAATTTTTTATAGCTTGTTATTAAAATGAAACTTTGTTTTGTAATTTCTCATATTTTAATGACATTAAAATTGCTTATGGACTTTGCTTTGACATTAGTATTGTTGAACTATGTTTTCTCTCTTAGTTTTGTATTTTGTTCTCTTAATTTTGGTATTGAACTTTGGTTTGTAGGTTGAATCTTAAATTATAAATTATAAAAAAATTATTAGCATACCCTCGTTGTACATGTATCATATTTTTTTGTAGGTCTTGCTGTATTGGCGTATCCATACCAATATCCGTATTCGCACCCATGCTTCATAGTCAAAATTTATAACCCAAATTTAATTATTATATCACGATTGTCGGAAAATGATATTCACATTCACTTTTACCATCTCACACTCTCTTTTTTTTTTTCATTTTTGTTTCTCTCAAGGGGAGTGCGAGAAACTAAAAGACTGAAAAAAGGAGTGTGAGGTGCTAAAACTAGTACGTGAATAAAATTTATTTTATTTTTGAATATGATTCTTGAAAACACGAAAACAAAAGCAAACCATTTTATTTTTTTTTAAATTTTTTTTAAAGATATCACCAACAAAAATTCCCTAGAGTTGCAACTGTACTTTTGGTGGTATGAAGGTGCCCAAAAGATAGAATTATGTGCTTTCAAGTTGCTTACAGGATCCCTTAGAACTCGAAATTCTTGCTGGCTGCTGCATTTGTTGCCTCATTATTATGGCTCCAAAATGAAACTTTGGCTCTTTCATTGCTAGCTAAATCGAGTGTTGTACCCTGGTACTTATATTATATCATGTGCATGAGGTTGTTACGAATTATGTTGCGATCAAAACCTCGGTGTTGTGCTTATGATGCATCAAAATAGAATATACAATATAGAAGAGAAAAATTAAAACATTAAGATTACATGCTATTTTTTCATCTGTCTATGTTAAACAATGTTTGACATTGCTACAGGTAGACTGTCAAGAAATGTTGTCATGACTGGAAATGTCGTACTTAATGGGAAGAAGAGAAGACTAGACTATGGTGTTGTGGTAAGAAATTTTCACATGCTTACAAGCTATTTGTTTCAATGCCTAACAGAAGTATTCAAAACTTCAGATTAAAGTGAAATTCAGGTAGTGTAGTGCTGCTTTAAAAAAATTCCAAGTTCCTTTGGCAGCTCAAATAATGTCAAATTAGTGTTCTTTTAAAATGTTACATTCTCAAGTTTTTGCAGGGAAAAATAAAATAAAATATGCATGCTATTAAAGGAAAAATAGGAAAATATCAGGAAATTGGGAAACGGGTCAATACTCCAAGTAAAACATGTGACCGGTGCAAGTGAGAACTATGCCCCAGTCGCAGACGCATGTCTCATTTTCACTTCATTGATTTCCAAAATTCCAGTTACTTTTCATGTTCCTCAAATTTCTGATATTCTCCCAAAATAATAGTAACAATAATAACACGTTCTGAATTTGAAACTGTTGGCAAGCCTATGAATGTACTTTTTGATCATTTGATTATTGGGGAGGCATATAATTCCCACATCTTCTAATTTAATTTAATTTTTCTTTTGCAATTGTAGTTTACCTTTTCTTCAATTGAAAATTAATTTCAGGCTTATGTCACACAAGACAATGTTTTGTTGGGAACCCTCACAGTGAGAGAAACCATCACATATTCAGCCTATTTGAGGCTTCCAACCGCTATGTCCAAAGAAGAGGTACATGGTATTGTAGAGGCAACAATCATAGAAATGGGTCTTCAAGATTGTGCTGATAGGCTGATTGGAAACTGGCATTTGAGAGGTGTAAGTGGTGGGGAAATGAAGAGAGTAAGCATTGGTCTTGAAATTCTTACACGGCCCCGTCTCTTGTTTCTTGATGAGCCCACAAGTGGCCTTGACAGTGCCTCTGCCTTCTCTGTGATCCAAACCCTTAGAAATGTCGCTCGTGATGGAAGAACAGTCATCTCTTCGATTCATCAGCCGAGTAGTGAAGTTTTTGCACTCTTTGATGACCTTTTCTTACTATCTGGTGGTGAAACTGTATACTTTGGAGAAGCAAAGATGGCTGTACAGGTATGGAAGAATCAATATTACCTCATAGACATGGTTAAAAATTTAAATTGCAAATGGTTTTAAATATCAGCCAATACGGGACATATGTATTGGCTTTAATGCCAATATTGGCCGTCGTTTTTATTATTATTATTTTATTTTTTATTTTTTATTTTTGTGGAGGATGATTTAAAAAAATTTGCAACTGTGTCACTTGGATTTCAATATGTGCCGCTCAATACTCATGATACTAATTTGTCGCCCATACTGCTATTTAGAACCTGATAGTAAATGGCTTTGATCATGTTGAAACTTCAAGCAAGGGAGTCAAATTTTACAATTTTATCATCTCATTGTTCAAAATTATGTGAATGTGAGAACTTAAACCTATTAATGTGTTTCCTCTTCCCCTGATAATATTTATCAGTATTAGCCTAATGTGATTTTTTTTTTCCCCCTTCACAGTTCTTTGCTGAAGCAGGATTTCCATGTCCGAGTAAGAGAAATCCTTCTGATCACTTCTTACGCTGTATTAATTCAGACTTTGACATTGTAACGGCCACGTTGAAAGGATCACAGAGACTTCGTGTACGTATGCATTAGTAGCTAGCTTCTTGTACCATCTTCTTTCATTTTCTAATTTTCTTAAGCTGGTATGTGCATAGATGCTGCACTACAATGGGCATCTTTGAGTTTGGAACTTTGGATCTTATCACCGAAGTACTACAGAAAACAAAAAACATAAAATGAAAACACAACAACCAAACAACTAATGGTTTCCTGTTCTTTTGATGCATTCTTTCCAAATTTTAAGAACACTGAACTTCTTCACTGTTTAACTATTGAAAGTAACGCAAAAAAAAATTCTTGAGTTTCAACTATTGAAAGCAAACATAGTGGGCTATAATTACTGCATCAAGCAAATTCATTTCTTTCAGAAATGGGTAAACAGCAACACATGTTCCAGTTCTCTCTCTCACAGACTCTTTTTTATTGTTTGTTTTTTGTATAACAGGAAGTTAAAAAAGAAGCAGATCCTTTCATGAACATGGCAACAGTGGAGATCAAAGCAATGCTTGTTGAGAAATACAAGCGCTCAGAGTATGCCACAAAGGCTAGAGCTAGGATCCGAGAACTTTCTACGATCGTAAGCTTTTCAAACTCAAGCTTTTTTAGGATAAAATGAAATTTAATTCCTATCCCTGTCTTAATTTTGTCTGTCTTCCTCACTTAACCTGTTGCTCTAGACATTCTTTCGAAAAGTCAAATGAATACTAATAATGATATCTAATTTTGCGTGTAATAAAATAATATTGCTGATAGAAGAATAGGAGGAGGAATATCAGATAAATGGGAAATAAGAAAAATAATTGCAAATCAATAGAGTGCAAGTGAACATATGTCCAGTGCAAGTAAGAAATGCGCAAAAATGGCACAGTTCTCACGTGAGACATATGTCCAGTGCAAGTGAGAAATGCACAAAAAATGGCGCAGTTCTCACTTGCACTCCATTGATTCACAATTATTTTTCTTGTTTTTTATTTATTTGATATTCCCCCAAGATAATCAAAGGTCTAAAAGAAATATGATATCCTTGATCTGGCTAAGTTTATGGATTGTTCATGACCTATAGTATATGATATTCCTATTTCTTATTACAAACAAAAACTTATAATGGAAAAAAAAAAAGAAAAAAAAAAGAGTTTATTGAACTGATTTTCAATTACACAATCTGATATAAGCAATGCTGTTGTTCACAGCCGTCATGTGACTCAAAGATTTGGGTTAGGCTTTTAGTTCATTACTTCTCCCAAACAGGGGTCTAAATGGGTTAAGACGAAAATATTGCAATATATATAATTCACTGCTGCTAACAATAATTTCTTAACCAAGTTCATGTATTGCAGGAAGGACATGAGTTCAAAGCAATAAGTGGAAGCCAAGCAGGATGGTGGAAGCAACTTTCAACTTTGATAAGGAGATCTTTTGTGAATATGTCTAGAGATGTCGGATATTATTGGTTACGCATAATCATCTATATAATCGTTTCTGTTTGTGTTGGTACGATCTACTTTGACGTTGGCACAGGCTATACATCAATCTTGGCTCGTGGTGCTTGTGGTGGTTTTATATCCGGTTTCATGACTTTCATGTCCATTGGAGGCTTCCCATCTTTCATAGAAGAAATGAAGGTAACAATTAAGAATATTATACTATACTCATGTTGAAGCTTTTGATATTTCATAATTCATTTTCTTTAATTAAAACAGGTATTTTATAGAGAGAGGCTTAACGGACACTATGGAGTTGCGGTGTTTATTCTATCAAATTTCATCTCTTCTTTCCCGTTCTTGCTTGCAATCGCAATCTCTACTGGGAGTATTACTTACTACATGGTGAAATTTCGACCAGGGTTTTCTCACTACGTGTTCTTTTGTTGCAATCTTTTCCTCTCCATCTCTGTTATAGAGAGCTGCATGATGGTTGTGGCTTCATTGGTTCCCAACTTCTTGATGGGAATTATAACCGGGGCTGGAATTATTGTAAGAAAACTTATTTAAATCATTCTCGAGTTCTTTCTCGTTTTTCATCATCATTTTACTTCCAGTCATTGTTGTCACATTCATGAGTTTTTTTATATAGGGAATAATGATGATGACCGCTGGGTTTTTCCGTTTGTTGAACGAGCTTCCCAAACCATTCTGGCGCTACCCGATTTCATATATCAGTTTTGGGGCATGGGCACTGCAGGTATTTACTTGCATTTATTGAATTTTTTTTTAAAAAACACACAATAAATTAATTTCAATCCTGAAAATTTCTTTCCCTCTCAATTAGACATGCAATATGTAAATGGCTTGTTAAAATTTCAATTTGATGCACTTTTAGACCCCATCACATAGCCATAAATATGCAATTCTACCATGGACTTAAAACCAAATTTTCTCAAGATAACATGCTTGCATATATATGACATAATGACATTGCATAGACTTAGAACAATACTTAACTGACAATTTAATACAACTATTTTGTGGAAAATGCAGGGTGCATACAAGAATGACTTGATCGGACTTGAGTTCGATCCTCTAGTGCCTGGTGACCCGAAACTGAAAGGTGCAGATGTCATCACAAAAATGTTTGAGATTCCACTAGATCATTCCAAGTGGTGGGACTTATTTGCCTTGCTAGTCATCCTCATATCTTACAGACTCATCTTCTTCATTATTCTCAAGCTTAAGGAGAAAGTATCACCGTTTTTTCGATCTCTTTATGCCAAGAGAACTCTTCATCAACTCAGTAAGAGGCCTTCACTCAAGAAGAAGCCATCTTTCCATTCCAAGAGGCATCAAAATCTCCATGCATTGTCTTCCCAAGAAGGCCTTAGTTCTCCTATTCCCTAAAAGTGCCACACATCAAGTTACAAAGTTTTACCAAGTTTTATAAAGTTTGGCTAAGTTTAATTGTTAAAAGACTTTCTATAAGTGAAATGTTGTGTCGATAAGTTTCACCATTTTTTTTTTTTTTTTTTTTTCCGACTTTGTTGCTGTGTCATAGGTCTCATTCCACAGTTTCAATATGCAAGCGAAAAATGATAATTGGTGATGTGTAACAATGATAATTGTTCATAGACTACTTGTTTGGGGGTCCTATGTAAAAGAAATGTTTGGGCGTTCTTTCTAATTAAGAAAATAAGGTTGTATTCCATGTGGGACAGTTGTATTATCAATTACATAATCTTATATGTCACTTGTTTACATTTTCATGTTTTTAGGCTGCATTTGAATATTAGATTTGGAGAGAGATTTATGAAAGAAAAGAAATGGAAGGGAAAACAAGAAATTAAAAATATAGTTTATATTTTATTCACTTTTTCTTTTCATTTTTATTTTTTTTTTCATTACGAATTCATGATTCAAGCACAACGTTAGTGAATTATTCGGATTATTGTGCTGAATAAAAACCTTTGAGATTGAAGAAGATAATAAGTTAAAATTCAGAATTCAAACTGCTATGGACAGTATTAGAAAACGACAATGCTAGGTAGCTCAAATTTTTGTGGCTCAAATGGCTCAAATCTGTCAAAACGACGTCGTTTGAGCTACCAAACATTTTCCATTAGAAAAATTATTGTTGATCAAGTTTAACCCAATATTAACGTGGTCCACAATTATGTGAATGTTTCTGTAATGAAGGTTTGATTACAACTCTATTTCTTTGTTTATATATATTTTTATTTTATTTCCAGTTTTTAATTTACTCAAAATCAATTTCTATTTATTTAAATTATATTGCGATATAATTTTGTAACTATTTTTCGACCATTCTATAATTGAACGCGTGGCTTTTAATAGCTTGACATTGCATAGGTAACATTTGCATGTGAGCATGTGGCTCTTCTTATCCAAAAAAAAAAAAAAAAAAAAAGGTTAGGCATCTCAATAATTTTATCAAAATTTTTACTAAATGACCCATACAGAGATCCCCAAACTTCTACCAAAATTTTTATCAAATGTCTCACATGGTGTGAGTCTCATACCTATGTAAAACATTTGGTAAAATTTTTAAAATTTTTAGCATTACTCTTTTCTTACTATTCGTGGAAATTCTTCATCTACTTTGACCGTGCAATTTACTTTGTGATCAATTTGAAATTCAAAAGAAATGGAAGTGAAAAGTAAAAAGTAAAAATATAGTTTATATTTTATTCACTTTTTTTTTCTTTTTTTTCTTTTCTTTTTTTTTTCTTTTACAAATTCATGATTCAAGTACAACATTAGTGAATTATTTAAATTACTGTGCTCAATAAAAACCTTTGAGATTAAAGAAGATAATAAGGTAAAATTCACAATTCGAACTATTATGAACAGTATTAGAAAATAATTTTTAATAAACTTTAACCCAATATTAACGTGGCCCACAATTATGTGAATGTTTCTGTTCTGAAGGTTTTGATTACAGCTCTATTTCTTTGTTTTTATATATTTTTTATTTTATTTCCAGTTTTTAATTTTCTCAAAATCAATTTCTATTTATTTAAAATATATTTCTATATAATTTTGTAACCATTTTCAACCACTCTATAATTTAACGCGTGGCTTTTAATATGTTGATATTGCATAGGTAACATTTGCATGTGAACATGTGGCTTTTCTTATCATTCGTGGAAATTCTTCATCTACTTTGACCGTCTTTAAGGGTGAACAAGTTCCTTTAGGTCTTGTATCACTTTAATTATTGATTTTTTAATTATAATATATTTAATTTTGAATTTTAAATTTTATTTTAAGTAAGAACAGTTAAAAATATCATTACTCAATTTCAAGAGTAAAATCGTCAGTTTAATAAAATATAAACTAATTTGACCAAAATAAATGTCAAAAAAATATTTTTAATTTCTTAAAATTATTTCTATCCATTAAAGATAAAATTATGTAAAATTAATAAATCTTTTAGACATTTGTTTATTTTATCAAATTAATTTTTATTATGTATTTGGATGATAATCATGTAATGGGTGGTAGTTTTTATTTTTATTAAATTAGTTTCTATTTTTTCAAAAGTCAAATATGACAAAAATTTTGATATCATTATTAAACCAATCCATTAAATCAAAAAATCCAAAACTAAAAACATTTCATATATTAAATATATCGATTATATATTAAAAGTCTAACAACCACTCATTATATGATCATCATCTGAACATATAATAAAAATTAATTTGGTAAAATAAATAAATAAATAAATAAATAAAAGATTTATTAATTTTACATTATTTTATCTTTGGTGGGTAGAAATTATTTTTAAAAATTTAAAATATTTTTTTGACATTTATTTTTATCAAATTAGTTTATATTTTATCAAATTGATGACTTTGCCCTTGAAATTGAGTAATAGTATCTTCAATTATCTTTATTTGGAACAAGATTTAAAATCTAAAATCAAATGTGTCACAATTGAAAAGTCAGGATTCAAAATGATACGTGCCCCAAATTATAAGGATGGTTAGTGTAATTTGCCTTCAATACAATTTACTTTGCGATCAATTTAAAATTCAAAAGAAATGGAAGTGAAAAGTAAAATAAAAAATATAGTTTATATTTTATTTACTTTTTCTTTTTATTTTTTTTCTTTTATTTTTTTTTCTCTTTATAAATTCATAGACTACTTGTTTGGGGGTCCTATGTAAAAGAAATGTTTGGGCATTCTTTTTAATTAAGAAAATAAGGTTGTATTCCATGTGGGACAGTTGTATTATCAATTACATAATCTTATATGTCACTTGTTTACATTTTCATGTTTTTAGGCTGCTTTTGAAGATTAGATTTGGAGAGAGATTTATGAAAGAAAAGAAATGGAAGGGAAAACAAGAAATTAAAAATATAGTTTATATTTTATTCACTTTTTCTTTTCATTTTTAATTTTTTTTTCCATTACGAATTCATGATTCAAGCACAACGTTAGTGAATTATTCGGATTATTGTGCTGAATAAAAACCTCTGAGATTGAAGAAGATAATAAGTTAGAATTCAGAATTTAAACTGCTATGGACAGTATTAAAAAAATAATTTTTGATCAAGTTTGACCCAATATTAACGTGGTCCACAATTATGTGAATGTTTCTGTAATGAAGGTTTTGATTACAACTCTATTTCTTTGTTTATATATATTTTTATTTTATTTCCAGTTTTTAATTTACTCAAAATCAATTTTTATTTATTTAAATTATATTTCGATATAATTTTGTAACTATTTTTCAACCATTCTATAATTGAACGCGTGGCTTTTAATAGGTTGACATCACATAGGTAACATTTGCATGTGAGCATGTGGCTCTTCTTATCAAAAAAAAAAATAAAAAAAAAAAAAAAAAAAGAAAAAAAGAAAAAAAGAAAAAAAGTTAGGCATCTCAATAATTTTATCAAAATTTTTACTAAATGTCTTATATGGACGTGAGACCCATACAGAGATTCCAAAACTTCCACCAAAATTTTTATCAAATGTCTCACATGGTGTGAGTCTCACACCCATATAAAATATTTGATAAAATTTTTAAATTTTTTAGCATTACTCTTTTCTTATTATTCATGGAAATTCTTCATCTACTTTGACCGTGCAATTTACTTTGCGATCAATTTGAAATTCAAAAGAAATGGAAGTGAAAAGTAAAAATTAAAAATATAGTTTATATTTTATTCATTTTTTCTTTTTTTTTTTTCTTTTACAAATTCATGATTCAAGTACAACGTCAGTGAATTATTTAAATTACTGTGCTCAATAAAAACCTTTGAGATTAAAGAAGATAACAAGTTAAAATTCACAATTCGAATTATTATAAACAGTATTAGAAAATAATTTTTAATAAACTTTAACTTAATTTAGTCTCCAAATGTGTTTTTTCTTGTAGTGTATTAACGTGGCCCACAATTATGTGAATGTTTCTGTTCCGAAGGTTTTGATTACAGCTCTATTTCTTTGTTTTTATATATTTTTTATTTTATTTCCAGTTTTTAATTTTCTCAAAATCAATTTCTATTTATTTAAATTATATTTCTATATAATTTTGTAACCATTTTCAACCATTCTATAATTTAACGCGTGGCTTTTAATATGTTGACATTGCATAGGTAACATTTGCATGTGAACATGTGGCTTTTCTTATCATTTGTGGAAATTCTTCATCTACTTTGACCGTCTTTAAGGGTGAACAAGTCTTTTAGGTCTTGTATCACTTTAATTATTGATTTTTTAATTATAATATATTTAATTTTAAATTTTAAATCTTATTTTAAATAAGGACAGTTAAATATATCATTACTCAATTTCAAGAGTAAAATCGTCAATTTAATAAAATATAAACTAATTTAACCAAAATAAATATCAAAAAAATATTTTTAATTTCTTAAAATTATTTTTACCCATTAAAGATAAAATTATGTAAAATTAATAATTTGTTTATTTTACCAAATTAATTTTTATTATGTATTTGGATGATAATCATGTAATGGGTATGGTTTTTATTTTTATTAAATTAGTTTTTTATTTTTTCAAAAGTCAAATATGGCAACAATTTTGATATCATTATTAAACCAATCCATTAAATCAAAAAATCTAAAATTAAAAACATTTTATATATTAAATATATCGATTATACATTAAAAGTCTAACAACCACTCATTATATGATCATCATCTGAACATATAATAAAAATTAATTTGGTAAAATAAATAAATAAATGTCTAAAAAATTTATTAATTTTACATTATTTTATCTTTGGTGGGTAGAAATTATTTTAAAAGTTTAAAATATTTTTTTGACATTTATTTTTATCAAATTAATTTATATTTTATCAAATTGATGACTTTGCTCTTGAAATTGAGTAATAGTATATTCAATTATCTTTATTTGGAACAAGATTTAAAATCTAGAATCAAATGTGTCACAATTGAAAAGTCAGGATTCAAAATGATACAAGCCCCAAATTATAAGGATGGTTAGTGTAATTTGCCTTCAATACAATTTACTTTGCGATCAATTTAAAATTCAAAAGAAATGGAAGTGAAAAGTAAAATAAAAAATATGGTTTATATTTTATTTACTTTTTCTTTTTATTTTTTTTCTCTTTATAAATTCATGATTCAGGCACAACGTTAATGAATTATTCGAATTACTGTGCTCAATGAAAATCTTTGATATTGAAGAAGATAATAAGTTACAATTCAGAATTCAAACTACTATGAATAATGTTAGAAAATA